GGGGGGGGGAGAAGGGGGTGGAATCTTGCCATTTAAAATGAAATAATCTTTTTGACCTCTTTTACCAACAAAACTGACCAGTTCTTTCTGCTCTCTTTGCTCCCCCCCTCCCTTCCCCCCCAACTCTTTCAATTGGCAAGAGGCTTCCAGTACTGGGAATTCTCCTTTCTGAACTATCACACATATATTTTGACAAGAAGCATGTCCTTCAGCCAGTGCATACTGTACTGCTTTACCAGGCGAAGGATACAGGGTAACTCTTCTTTTTCTGTGATTCTATGAGTCTTTTATTTTCCTTGAAACCCCATATCAGGATAGTTGTTCTGACGGGAGAAGTGTGAGATACTGGATTCTCTTCTTGAAATGGTAGGCTTAACAGTGGCAGGGAAAACAGTCCTTTCTTCCCTCTGATTTTCTGTGACAGATTCCTGCACCCTACCAACAGGAGGGTCATAAAAATATTATATAGATGATCAGAAGTATTTTTCATTCTAGCTCTTATTTTTTTATTCAGCTGTTAACACTATGGTAGTTTTGATCCATTAACATTTAAACTATCATCTAAACTAGCTCCTGATTTGGCTTTCTTCCAGACTGCTAAGAATGCGTCATTGTAAACCATACCATACAGACAAATGCCTCACGTTGCTGTTAGAGGGTGGTCTAGAAGAATGAGCAGTTAAAAAAAAAAAAAAAAAAAAAAAAAAAAAAAAAAAAAATCTGTGTGCAATAATATGTAAGCCTTGGGTTGTCACAGGTATTATAATTTCCTTTATGTTTTTGGTCCTTGTTTGTCTGAGCATCTGACAGGGAGCAGAAAGACTCTGAGTTCTAACTTTATTCTGAAACAGGAACCCTCTTTTGTCCTTAGGCAGGTCTTGTCAGTCTTCTTCCTTGGATTCCCCGTGTGCAATATCCAACTAATCTAACTCTCCCAACCCCCTTGTCAGATATTTCTAATTTTTTATGTTGTTGAAGTATTAAGCTTAATTAAGTTAGATGTGATGAAACTGAGGATGCATGTGCTTCTGTCTTTTGACTGTCTGGCATATGAATTTGGGGAGAACAGATGTAAATATTTGTGCCAGAGTAACTTTAAGGAAATGAAATAATTGCCTTTAATCAGAAATGGAATCCTTAGGGATTACGTTCTAATTCTGTTTGGCTGTTGTTTGGTTCCCAACAACAGTGAGAAGAGGAGATGTCTTGGCAGCATGGAGTGGCATTCGTCCCCTGGTCACAGATCCCAACTCTAAAGACACGCAGTCAATATCGCGGAATCACATTGTTACTGTCAGTGACAGTGGCCTTGTAACCATAGCAGGTACTGGTAAACCATTTCAAATGCTTCTCGTGTGGCTTTTTTAGGATTCTCTGTATTTAATTAATAATAAATGAGTATTATTACAAGAATTTGAGGGGGTAAGCCATATTTAAAAATAAGTGGTATTCTTTCTGAATAAGTGAATTGCTGATTCAAGTCCAGTCAGGAGCAAGAGTCCAGTAATGAAGCAGTACAAAGATGAAGTCTAGCAACTGCAACCACCCACATTTTTTACTGATACATAAAAACAGAAACCTAACCAAGTAAATAAATTGTTTATAGGTGGGAAATGGACAACCTATCGCTCCATGGCACAGGATACCATTGACGCTGCTGTCCAGGCTCACAATCTCATGGCAGGCCCCAGTAAAACAGTAGGACTTTTATTACAGGGGGCGAAAGACTGGAGTCCTACTCTTTACATTAGACTGGTCCAGGATTATGGACTTGAAAGTGAGGTAAGCTATTTCTGTTTCAATTCAGTAAATTAATTACAGTTGTAAATAACCTTTTATAAATAAAAGTCTAGTCACACTAGTAGGGGATTTTAAATCAGATAAGGCTGTATTATTTAATCAGGGAAGACCTACCATAATTGTATGTGAGCGAGGTTCCAGTCCTTTTCCTTCTTTGCTATTGGATCATTAAAAAAATGCACATTCTTTATACCAGATTCATCATAAACTTGAAACTATGAATTCTGCTTTTGAAACGTGTGACAACACCAGTCTTGGGCATCTCAAGCCCAACAAAATCTATTCTTCAAATGTGATCACAGTAGCAGAAAGGAGCTGAAGTGTCATTAGTCACCGTTACATTGATACATGCATAGTAGTGTTAGTGCTGGTCTAAGCATTCACAACACAAGTAGTTTCCACCCACACAATCAAAATCTAATAGCCTCCTTGGACTATTTGTTACATGTACTGGGAGAACTGACAAGATAGTTTACATGTATTCATCTGTGTTTCAGAAACTCCTGGGATGTAAACGTCTAAATTTGCTCTCAATTCCATAGGTGGCTCAGCATCTTGCTTCTACGTATGGTGACAAGGCTTTTGAGGTGGCCAAAATAGCCAAGGTTACTGGCATGAGGTGGCCTATTGTTGGAAAACGTCTCGTGTCCGAATTTCCATATATTGAAGCAGAGGTATGTGAAAAGCTATGATCCTTTCCGTAATTGTGTGCTGCGTTCTTGCAAACCTTCTCTTCTTCCCCCGCCATATACTGATGCTTGTCCTATTTTTCTAACTTTGCTCCCAAATAGTTCAGTTTATTTTTCCATGCCCAACCAGGCAGAATCTTGCGTTGTCTTTTTTGACTTTTTACCTTTTATTTTAATATCCTAGGTGATATATGGTGTAAAAGAGTACGCCCTCACAGTAGTTGATATGATCTCGCGTCGTACTCGCCTGGCCTTCCTGAATGTGCAGGCTGCTGATGAAGCCCTACCAAGAATTGTTGATATCATGGGGAAGGAACTTAATTGGAGTGAACAACGGAAAAAGGTACAAAGGGCACCATACAGCTGGAATTTTATATTTCTTAACTAGTTTCCATCTTAACAAGCAAACATCTAAATTAGTTGGCTGAGAAAACTATAAATGAAATCTGTTTCCTTGAAAGAATAATCCTTTGGTATATGCCTGTATACCACAGTTACAGTAGTTATAGCTTTTAGCTATAAAAATAGCTATTAAACAAGGTTTGATTGGTCTAAAAAGACCTGTGCTTCACAGCTGTTTAAGTTGAAATGAAAGCAAGTTTTGTGGTTTCAGTCTGTTCCCTGAAGTACTTTCTTCATAATGGAGTTTATAACAACTGGGTTGGCTTTGCTGAGAAGAGGCACGTTGCTTGTGGTTCTTTGATGTCTCCCTTACTTCCCTGTGTCTCCTGTCTCACAAGATTGGTTATGAAAAGGAGCTTGATGCCACTGCTGCCCTAAAATAATCTCCTATAATAATAATCTCTTTTCCCTGAATCCTCCTGGGCAGTCATTGAAATCTGGTGACTTGGAGTCTAGGCCTGCAAGGCGTGAAACTTCCTTAGTTTTTATCGTCTCCATTGTCAGATATGAGTTCCCAGCACCTTTTCAGGGTTTCACTCTTAATGTGGTATGGTTTTTTTTTAATGCTCTCCCACAAGGAGGGAGAACAGTAGTCAAAGCTGTATGCAAGCAGAATGTCCAGAATTGATCGTCACTCTTTTATTTCTGGCATAGGCAGAACTTGAAAATACTCTCAGGGAGTTTGCTAGAAAGAATGGAAGGCTTCTTGTTGCTTATTCATATTGCTGCCTAGCTTGTCAAAAGTTGTATGAAAATTCTGAAAAGAGCCTGCTTTACTCTTCTCAGCTAGATGGACTCCTAGAGAGTGATAGAATTCAGGGGCAGATCTAGGATTTTGAAAAATGGGGTTGGGAGGTACAGTCAGTTCTCTATAGGGTCCTCTGTGATAACTAGTGAATTAGTAGAAGTTAGGATTTCTAGAAAACTGCTCAAAGATTGAATCAGGAGAATGTTAAGGTGTCAACACAAAAGGGTCCTAACTGAGGAAATGTCAGTGTTGAGGTTGTATAGGCAATTTTAATTCTGGCCCTTGTATGTATTGTGTGCAGTCAGTAGTTGCATGATCATGGCTCATTTCTCAAATACTTCTGTATAAAATACAGTTTCTGTAACCAAGGATGGAGCATCTTGAGATGTCATTTTCATTCCTATGTACGTGGTCTATTTTCATAATAGTCTAGTACAGTAGTGCTCAACCTTTTCAACAGACAGGCCAGATGGGGAGTGCCCAGGCTGTCCTTAGCGCACTCAGTTGCTTAGCACATCACTCCTTAAGTACAGTCCTGGGCATGAGGTCGTTGCGTTCAAGGCTAAATTAAATCCCAGTCCAGCAAAGGTTTTTGTACATGTTTAACTTGAAGCTTGCGAGTAGCTCCGGAAAATTCAGAGGGTTTCCCTTTGTGCTTAAAAGTTGAGTATGTCTTTGCTAAATGATGGCTCCAGCATATTTTTGCTATTTCTGCATGCCATTATACATAATCTGTAGTGTATTGAGTAAGCCAGTTAACTGACTTTTCTTTCATGGCAAACTGGTGAACATGCTCTTAAAGATGCTACAGAAGTATATAATTGTAGAATAAAACTGTATGCAACTATATTAAATTATATATTTGAGACATAGTGTTGTTTAGTTAAAAATATGCCAGACCCTCAACCCAATTCATTAACGCCAAGACATTCTGCTTCATTCTACATTCTGCTATGTGACGAGGATAGCATGTCAGCTTTGTTTGATATATAGCTGATTGATCATTTAGAATCATAGTGGTCATTTATAACTGTAAGACATAAACTCTGTAAATTAAGTGTCATTCATGGTCCTGATGTGCATGTGTAGTTTTGCTGCTTCATTGTGAGCCCACATATGACCTTAAAAATGTTTACATTCCATATCTCTCAGCATAATTATCAACTGACAAACAACACTTGCTCAATGTTCTAGAGATCCAGTGAAAACATCAAGTATCACCTAATCTTAATTATTTTATCCCCCTTTAAGTGATTTTTGCCAATCAACTGTTGAATTCCTGAAATTTTAATTTATCGCCTCCTTTCATTTAAATAGCATAGTAAGTATTTGTTGTTTAGAACTGAAGCTTTTTTCTTGTTGTAGGAAGAACTTGCAGCTGCAAAAAAGTTTCTGTACTATGAAATGGGATATAAGGCTAAATCGGAGCAATTAACGGACAGTTCTGAAATCAGTCTTGTACCTTCAGATATTGAAAGGTAAATGAGCACAAGTTGACCTTTTATCCCCTTCCCCCCCTTGTTTCTGGGAGAAAAAATTCTATCTTTCTTTCGAGTGCAGCTCCATTTCATAATAAGCCTATATTGCAGATATAAGAAGAGATTTCACATGTTTGATAAAGAAAATAAAGGATTTATTACCATACTGGATGTCCAACGTGTCTTAGAGGTAACATTTCTCTTCTGATTTTTGAATTCTTATCTAAATTGCCCAGGATGACTGAAATAGTGTTTAATTAATCCAGTGGATTTGCCTTTTTTCCTTCTTTATTTAGAGTGTCAGTATTCAAATTGATGAAAATACACTTCACGATATTTTAAATGAAGTGGATTTAAACAAAAATGGACAGGTGGAACTCGATGAGTTTTTACAGGTGAGTATTTTGTATTTGGAATCATGATAAAGATGACAAAGGAATATCTCCCCTTTTACTCTGTATAGCTGTCTTATTTTATAGATGGCTGGAAAGGATTTATTAAAGCTAGATGCAGCATTTGTACATCTGATTTTCATATTAATTTACCTTGCCTGCATGTGGGCATTGAATTTGGTCACCAAGAAAAATGCTAAGCAATTGCCTAAATGTGTAGTGTCTGTATTGTTCACATAATTTCCTTTGCTCCAAAGACTATGTACTTATTAGCCCAGATGCCCTATGCATGTTTACTAATGTTGCTGTTTGAATAGTGCTGACACCTGTACATGGTCAAATTCAAATCCAGGTACACTGTGGCCAGCCCAGACAGAGATATGCAAGTATTACATTCATCAGTTTGAAGTGGGGGGGG